TGTTTCATAAATTACAGTGAAGTATGTGTTTTAATCTGCAGTTTGTGTGGCGGAACTCGATTTAAACCGTAAGAGCAAAGTTTTGTAATTTAATGTAGAAGTTCCTTTTCGTACTAAGGGTATCTGCCGTCAACGTTAGCGATCATACGAACGGGTTTAGTGTCGGTGGTGTCTTTATGTAATTTAATCGAAGCTGATTTAAAAATTACCGTGTCCCAGTAAGATTTTCTATCTTGGTTTAACTCGATAATTACGCAAGTTAAGTTTGGTTAATGTAAATGCTAAAAACTGTGGACACAGTGGCTTTGTTTACGCTCACATCACACTCGGTAAGTTACTAAAGTCGGACTTCAGTTATAGGGGTCTATTAAAAGTTTATCTGAGCTGAGTTAACGCTAAATCGTGTGATTTTTTTTTTCACTGTAAACGTAAATATTACGTTTTCGTGTGATTGATTGATGATTAGCAGGCACTTTTATATGAATGCTATATCCAAGCAGGTGTGGATCACCGTGCAACACCCTAGTTTGTCTCCATTGTATTGGTTACTAGTACACCCAAGTCTCATCGGAGACGCCAACGTTATTTTAGCAGCTACTTAATAAAACTTGGCTTTACCACGTTGTTAATGTCTTGTCAAAATAAATGTGGCACATGATATGCAAGTGACTGTTGTTGTTCTTGGTGTGCTTAATGGTAAATACAACTGCAACTCGGGTAACACGAAGAAGAACTTTTCTTTGCATGCTCCTTTGACGAAGGATTACTACTTTTATTTAATACAGAGGACAGAGTGTTAAACTGTTCAGTGGGTTTTAAACGCAAAATGATTTGTTGAGTGGCAGTACAGCTTTGAAGTGAGGAAAACATTTCTTTTGGTTTTATTATTAGGGGAAAAAATGTGCTACTTAAATATCATGACAGGTTTTTACACATTTTTGATGTCCAAAAAATGTGTGAAAAGGCAGATTTCTGCCATTACTATATACAGATCTGCCTTGCATACAGCTGTAGTCAACCACTAAAGGGCCAATTTAATAATAATGGTTTATATACTCAATCTGTGGCTGTTCATGATGAAGAAATAAATAAATAAGTTTTTTTTTTTCTTTGTATCTGTTTTAACAATAATTCACCTCGTAGCCCACAACAGAGCATGTCCCGCCTGCCAGTAATGTCAAGTAAGAGGGTACTGGCGTGCAGCAGCGCGGAGAACGCCCAGGACTTGGCACCTGCACAGGTTTGTGTAAACCCTTCTATTTACCTTTTTACTGCTACTGACTGACTTTTAGATTACTGTTAAGTATTTGTGAGTTTAATTTTTGCTGGAGGTGAGTCATCCTCACATGCACATGCAGGTATCTTAGAAGGCTAGTAAACCACAGCTGGCCATGCTGCTTTGCCTGAAAAGGTTTAGATGGTAAACCAAATTTCTTCTTATTGTTGCAATACAGCAGCTGCAGGGTTTGTGATATAAAGGAGTTCTTGTTGTGGTACTTCAGCATGGAAGCTCTTCTGGGACATCTATCCCATGTGATGGATTTTGTGTGGCAAATGTGCATTTGGGGGGGAAAAGGTTTTACCCTGAAACCTGCGCAAGACTCAGGTTTGTTCTCACTGTATGCTAATGGTGTCTTTTGTTTTGCAGAAGAGACTCCGTAAGGATGCAGATCCGGTTAAACCAGCGGCTACGGTCATTGGTACCAAGCGACCTGCTCTCGCAGCAACTCGAGCACCTATCTGTAAGTAACGTCTCAATCCCGAGTGTTGAAATCTTTTTGTTTTACTCCAAACTACATTGGTTTATGTCGGAGAACTACTTTATCTCAGTAAAGCACTTCATTAAAAGGCTGTCCCCAAACTAAACCAGTCAAAAAGTAAAACTGCATTAACTTTATTTAAAAATCATTGAGTAAAACACGTTTTCACATTGTATATTGTGCTTCTGTCCTCTTTATCATTTTGATAAAAATGTCCTTCTTTGTTTCACTCTCCAACACAGCTAGGCCACTCAGAGCTACAGGAGCTGCCACTGTAGCTGCAGCTCCGTCTAGAGGTAAGAAATGCTAAATATGTGGCAGAACTTTAGACACTGTGGTCACAAACCTTCATCTGGAGCAGTGATTAAGCAGTTTAAAGTTTAATCAAATTTGTTCATGGACAGTGTCATATCTTATATGTAGCTTGGTCCCAGATGAACATGTGATCATTTAAAGCATCTATGTACTGTTTAGGTGTCATTAAGCAATCTGTAGCTTCAACTGCAGCAAAGGGAGGCAACATGAAACAACCCGTTGCATCCACCGGCACAAAAACAGGTGAGAAATGAATTCTGCTCATTTCTTTTCTTCTGACAACTAAACGTTTATATTTTGGGGCTTTGATTTGTTAATAACCCCCCATAAATTTTAAATGCTTTTAAAAATGTTTCAAAGTGTGAAAAAAGTGACCCAGTAAATTGAAATAAGCCACAATTCTGAGTGAGTTTGTGCAAAGACGACCATAAACATGAAGCACCTAAATGTAATTCAGCCGTCACTGGTTCATCTTTATGCATTTGAAGTTTAAAGGTTGCTTCTGTAAAAGAGTTTTTCTTAACAGACCAAAAAAACCAAATTGAAAATGTTGCGTTTGTGTACAGGTGGAACACAAAAACGAAACCCTTGGGATCTGAAGGGCAAGGTCAGCGACATGGAGGATAAGGTCCGTAACTACCAAATAAAAGTTAAGACTCTGAATCAGGAAAATGAGGTTCTGCAAGACTCGGTGTCCCAGAGCCAAA